ACGCCACTCTGCTTCGGCTGCTTTCACCACAATAGCTCTCTCCACTTCTTGCTGCTACTTTTTCCGAGCGTGGCAGACGGCGTCTCGGACCGCAACGGCGCAAACAGGCCAGTCACCGCCCGCCGTGGCTGTTTAAACGCCAATCTGACAAGCCACTGACGGAGGTGACGTTCCCCGGGGCCACGCCTCGCCGACCCTTCTAGATTCTCCCGCCTTGGGCCGACGATGTCCGCGACTTCCGCCATCCTGTTCACGCAAGGGAGCAGGAAGCGCACTCTAGGAAAGTCTCCAGGAAAGTCTCGAAAAGAAGTAAGGATGAGGTGTATCCGTGATCATAGTGGATCTATCTATATTAGAGTCTTGTAACAGTAACAGGGAAAAGAGACCAGATTCTAGATCTCCCTGTCTTTCCCCCCGCTCCTTTTCCTCCTCAGCCCCATCATAACTCACGCCATCACATATTCCACGTGGGGAGGATATCACGATGATGATCCGCCGCATCTAGCCAGTTCATCTTGCTCCAGTGCGCCGGTCGCTCCAGCGCATCCACAAAATGTCTTACCGCCAGTACCATTTGGGCCGCCCAGCGCTGCGGACTGACCCTGCCCACCCCGGTGGCCAGCGGAGGGATCAGGATCCGCTCAATGCGATCCGTCGCACGCCCCCGATTCCACCCTTCTAGCTGTCCCAGCAGGCTCCAGATACATTCGTACACCACCTCGCGATCCCAGCTCACTCGATCGGGCATGCGCATCGTCGGACAGAGGGCCACCCACCGACATCCCCACTCGTTGGGGGTCAAGGACTCGGGGAATGGCACCAGCGTGCAGGTGCCGGGGGGCACAAAGCCGCGCCAGCGCTCGTACAGGACCTGCTGCGCCGCTCGCGTCAGGGTCTCGTAGGGATGGTCGGGGAGGCAGAATTTGCGGGTAATGGCATCGTCGAAGGCCCCGTCGAGAAGACCGTAGGAGTTGGCGGGGGAGACGATCAGGTCGAACGGGGTGGTCGCAGGCACGTCACGCAGCGATTGCCTCACAATGCGAAACTGGACCTTTGGCTCCGTCGCGTGGGCGGGCCACTGTCGCGCCAGCGCCTCCTCGAAGGCGGTGACGGACTCTTCCTCGCGGCAGAGGAGGAGGAACTCGGGAATATCTTGGAAAGACATGGTCGATGTGGTTTAGAGTTAGTGAATTCGGCCTCGAATGAGGTGGATGGCGATCAGAACATGATTATATGTCATGGCTTCGAATCTGTCAGCCTTGTTGTTCAATGGTTTTGTACGGAGTATGCCTTGCTGCTCCACCACAAACAATGCAAACACCTCAACCAAGCAGTTTCACCACACCATGATCATCATAGTCGAATCAAATGTAGTTTCATACAGAGTGCGGCTTATGGCTTCATGTGTAGATACTAGTAGCATGTCAGAGTCGAAAAGAGCAGTTGGGATAGTAGCCTGGCTAGAATGTGTCTCACTTCCAATTGGGACACATCATTGAATGCGTCCGGTGGGAAGCCAAAGTACTATATATATAAGTTGTGATCACCCGGCATTGAAACCAAGATCGACACAACCTAATCCAAAGTACCTATATTTTAGTGCTGAGGATATAAAGCTCTAATTGTCTCTTTTATCATCTGGAGATAGCGATATTTACTACCCAGTGGAAGAAGATCGCTTCCTTCCCTCTGCATGCGACTGTCTATTTGGCCGCTTGGCGCCTCAGCTCGGAAGAGAGCGGAACGATTCCGGTCCATACCGAGGGCGGAACATTGCTTATCCTGGCCCAGACCGCCGAGCATGTGACAGCGCGTCATGCGGCCAGCCTGTATCAACAACAACAACATCAACCACAGCAGTGGTCACTGTGCAAGATGGGCTCGCATTCCACCGACTCGCCTGGTCTGTGCATCTAGTCTTGAAATCTTACTTCTCCATTCTCTTCTAGTTCTCGTTTCTATCGCATAATGCCAGACACTGATCCACTGGAACAGCTGGCATGGGGAGCGTGTCAGCGTCGCTAATCTGGCCACGTGATTCCAAAGGCCTTTTCCCACTGGTTTACGTGCGGGAACGTAGCTAGTTCCAACAACCAACCCAACCACCAAGAAAATAAAGGATACGTTTCAGAACCTCTCCTCAAAAGCCTCAAATCGTCGTCAGAGCGCATCACGCGAATCGGCCGTCGAGATGACTCGCATTCTTCTAATTTTTGCCCTCTGGTGTCTGATCTCATCTCTCGACTGAGCTTATACTATCCTCTACAGACCTTTGCACGTTGGTCTCTTGACCTTGAACAGTATGAACCTGAGCGAGGCTTGGTATTGACCGACATCGCTGATCTACGTCCTCCGCGAGATTGCGTTGACCAAGGTAGGTTGACTCACATAGGCCTATATACAATTCCAAAAAGCGGTTCACTATACGATACTGAACTCATTCACAGGGCCTCGAACCGGTAACCTGCACACGATTCTCAACGAACGAAACACAGACCTGCTGCGGTGCTCCCCTCCAGTCCGTTGCTCCGTCATCAGCCTCGTCCACAGTCTACTACCGCTCGCCCTCCTACAACAGCGAAGCGCTGCAGCCTGCCATTCCCATTGCAATGCCGAAGTTGGAAAAGTGGCCTGCAGTGACACCCAACATGCCGTTGCCTGCAGAGCACTGGGTGTCCCGCTCGCCGCTGCACTTGACGGTGCTACTCTGAGTCCCGGAGCTGTAGTATTCCTGCTCGTCTTATCAGTACCATTCAAGAGGTCGGCGCGGGATGCTCTACTCACCGTTCCGTAGTGGACAAAGTCATAAGGCCACATGATGTACATGTTCTGTGTGCGCGGTCAGCGTTCGCATTCCTAAGGCCTGGACGAGTCGGAACTCACCGGGACACCGTCGCCAGCATTGTTACCCCGGTTCAATGTGCCATTTTGCGAAGTGCCGAACTCTGCAAAGGCGGAGTTGCCGATCGGATACGCTGCCAGCGCATTGCTGATGACTGTCTTCTCCGGGAAGTTCTGCGTCAACGCAATGTACGACATGTACGTCAGGGACCCGCCCAGAGAGTGGCCGGTGGATTCCAAATCATAATCCGGGTACTGTTCCACCAAGGTCTTGACCTCGGAGATGACCGTGTCATGAACCGAGGACCAGGGTGAGTAAATGCCATGCATGATCTGGGCGCCCGACGGGAAGTTGATGCCGGAAAGGCTGGGAGTCACCAATGTGGTGTCAACGTCGTTGGCGATGTCAGTGGCTGTAACTATTAGCATCGCAGACTCTCTGAAAATCTTGCCTATGTTGACCTACCAGTGGTTGAGCCTCGCATGGCGACCGTGATGCGCTTCTTCTCTGTGGAGTAGCCGATGAAGCCCTGGGAAGGGTTAGCCCTGTGCTATCGAACATCATGGTGCGGTCCCTGCCTGAGTATCTGTGACCAGATCATTCAGCTGCTTCGTGATGGTCACATCAAATGCGGTGCCGATACAGCCAGTGTATGCGGCGGAGGCAAGCTGCGCAGCCCGGTGAAGCTCCGTCCATTCAGCGGTATCTGAAAAGAAGTCAGCGTGTCTATTGGACAGCAGCCGAGAGGACGAACTCACCGGCGGTAGCTCGTTTTGTGGGCACAGCGCAGGCCACAGGGATCATGGCCACTCCGGCCAAGACGACGGACTTCTTGAGATGCATGGTGACTGATGAAGTGATAACGAGTGACTGTAGGGACTGAAGAGGTTGAGCTTGCTGCGAAAGAAACGAAGAGACCTAGCGACATCTTTTATACCCTCATGTAGGCCATGGCTAGGTCGTGATTCTCTGTCGAATTCTCCGCCATGGAGATGAAACATGAACTTGATCGCTGCACCTCGGCTTGATGAATTGCGTCGACCCCACCGAGGAGACATGTCATCCACGGATGTGATATGAGCTTCGGAATGACTTAAGCTTTTTGAAGTGATTCATTCTCCCATTAGCACGAACCGTACTCCTCGCTGGACGACTAGTATCACACCCTGACTGGTGCCCTGGATCTAAGCACAATCTTGGTCGAGTCGATGACACAGGTTTGAGGTGCCCAGTGCCAGTGATGTCGCATCTAGAGTGAAGATTTTACCGATCATATTTTTCTGACCCTGTAAATAGAAGCCGTGCCAGTGATTCTCTGTGCTGCCGTGAGAGCTGCAAGCCTGAAACCGGCCGGGGGAAAGCGATGGTTGTTTCAGGGGTGGAGCGCCGCTCCGCCATCTCAATTTTGAGTCAATCTACCCTCCCCGATTCGCAGCCCACATTGCAACGACGATGCGCCGGCTCTTTCTCCCCCATAGACCCTAAAATTTGTAACCATTGGATCTGTCTTAGCGGCTGGCAAAACTTCGGACGCTTGGATCACGTTGTTGATGGCTGTCTTTCAGGCCTCTTCCGTTCGGACCGGCTTCGAGCATGCTGATCTCCGCCGACGATCGCTGTTCGTGATGTTGCAAGCTATCTCAACAGAAATGAATGTACAGGGCTGTCAAAGTCCTGCTTTTAGGTCTCATGTTAGCTCCACGGGCTTCGATCCTCACGTTCGGAAAAGTCTACTTCTACCCCTCAGCAGGAATTTTCTGCCTCCTTACCAGTTTCATGAAAGCAATCGGTGGTAAAGCATGTTTCATGTGAACCCAATCGCACCGTCACCGGGCTTGGACGCCTAGATAGGAACTGTTCGGCCCTAGAGAAGGACTCAGGCTCAATATCTTGCATCCTGCGTGGTAATTGCATCAGGCTGGCTCCGATCGATCACTTTCCCGCCCGTGCCAGAGCGTGGGCTTCGTCCCTCGCGTTGACGTACTCAGCTGAGCTCTAGTCCGATCCAGCCGATGAATGAATGCTGTCGACTTTCGAAACAAGCCATCACTTCTTACCAAGATATGATCGTTGTGGAATGCTATCGCACGTTCGATACATGGTTCACTAACACCCATAGCCGTGTGATCATCTCTCGAGCCGCATCCCGATTATAAACAATGTAGCAGCAGATGAAGTACTACCCTACGGCGATCGTGTTTCTGCGCCTAATTGCTTTGATTGACTATGTGCCGTTCCTTCAAGTCGGGTCTCCGCTAACGGGTTACTCTGAACATTGCTATTGAGAAGATCAGCGTCAACCAGGAATCTCATGGCCAAGTAGAGAGAGAAACGGGTCAGTCGCTCAACATCATGCAGGTATTCACAATTCCCTTCTTCTCTCGCCCCTCCAGATAAATCCGACCGGTGGTCTTCTGGTCCATAGCAGTTCACCCTTCCACATCATGATCGTGACCGGAAATAGCGACACCAAAACCCTCAAACAGCAGTCGCCAAGTCATCCGTGCCGTAGGATTTGCCTAGTACGCGATCAACCTTCCGCCACCTGGCAAAGAAGCATTGGCCGACCCGAGCCACGAGTTGGCCGAGGACGACTTATTGTAGTAGATATTGTACCCCTGGCTGATGACATTATTGAAGGAGGGATCTGCGTCGGTGAAGTTCTGCAAATAGACACTCTGAGACAGAGTCCAGTTCGAAGTGGCATCGAGCGAGACGCCCAAGATCCCTTTGCCGCGACCAGACACAGCGGCCCCGGTCCAGCTGGAGTATCCGGTCAGGCTCCAAGCAATGAGACTGTTATTGTACGCGACGATGTCACCTGTCAGAGTCGACTCCGACACGGTCACGGCCACCTCAGCCGGCTGGATGTTGGAATTCTCTTCGTACCCGGCAAAATGGTCGAACGCCTGAGTCACCTGCGAGGTGTTGGCCAGAACCAGAATACCGGAAGCGGTATTCAGGGTGGTGGCGACCAGTTCGGCCTCGGCGATGATATTGCCGAACCACAACGCGGGCATGTCGGCCCCAAGAGTGGTCAACCTGGAATTGGTGAAGCTGAGCGAAGCGCCACTGCTGCGTGACGAAGAGGAGAAGAGGATGGTGCCGGCCAGCAAGCCCGCTGTGAGGTCGACGTTGGTGAAGACCGATTTCTGCACCCCATCGGAGAACAGGCTCGGAGCGTTCTCGGCGTGTCCGATCACGTTGGTGCCATAGGTCTCCCCCAGCGAGTAGAAGATGGCGCTTCCGATGCCAGCTGTGTGGGCGATGGCGTCGGTGATGTACAGGTATCCGGCTGGACTGTCTCCGGAGAATGCAGAGCTGCGCTCGCCGCCCGAGAAGTGGCGGACGTTATTGGCCACAAAGGTGCCATTTCCGCCGGCGTATAAGCCATGCGACACCGGTCCGGAGCTGTAGAGGTCGGTGTCGTTGACATAAACGGTGGTGCCAGTGCCGTAAGCATAGATGTTGGCAGCACCATTATGGACAGTCACATTGGCGTGGTCGATGTACGCGGTCGACTGGTTGGCGATGTTGATTGCCGCGTTGACGCCGAAGAAACTGGCCTGGTTCAGCCATGTGCTGTAGCCATACTTGATCACATCGCTGTAGGAGAGGTTCACGACTGCACCCTCCGTGCCGACGAGAACGCTGGTATCATTGGCGTCGACCGTTATAGTCACATGCGCCAGCTCAACATCCTCTCCGGAGTAGTAATATGGTCCGGTGATGTTGTAGATCAGGTACTGCGCGCCGCCGTTGTCGGTGGTGTAGTCGGCTACCAGTGTGTTGTCTACAGCATCGGCCGTCACATCAGCCGAATCGCTGGGGTCCCAGACCGTGATAGAAGCGAAGACGAGCGGTAGATACGACAGAAGAAGCAGGGTGAGAGACGCCATGGCTGGTCTCAATGTCGGGACTGTGATGAGGTAGTGGTGGGAGGCATTCGCAGGCAACTGAAGGTACCTTATGTACTGGCACTGCCTCCAACGACCTCGGAGTCAACAGCAGAAATCTTAGCACATTAGATGAGAAACAGTGGGGCCGTGGCAGTGATTTTCACCACTGAGCAATGCTCGGGAGAACCCTGGAGACAGCACCATCTGCCCGAAGAATGGGCCAGCATACTGCATTGTACTATACGTACATCACCACGCACGCACACCTTCTCTCTCAACTTCGACCACACGAACCGAAAGCGGCAGTCTTCAGTCTTGCATTCCGAACCAGCTGTCGTTGTTGCCAAGCACATCAACCTGCCCCAGACATGCCGAACTCCAATGTGGAGCCGAGGAAACAAGGTCGGTTGGCATATTCGACCATGCACAATCTTCACCACCACCCTTCAAACGAGAACGCGGGGTATGGGGTAGGACTAGCAAGACTTCATTCAGTACAGGCGCTGCTTGGCTTCGTTAGCGCTTCATCTAAATTGTCGGTCTGGATCCCAAGAGCTGACGCGTTCAATGCTAGCTCCTGTCGTAGGTGCCGGAACGTGGACAGCTTCTACGACCCCACGATCATGCTAATCCGTCAAAGAATGAGTCCCATCAAGACGATTCGACCTCTGAATGTGGACCAAAAGATCTCGAGATGATTGAGATGCTTGAACCAGTCTGGAGATTCCAGCTTGTTCTCCCACTCCAGCGATTCCCGCCATACGAGTCGGTGAAAATGTGGAATCCAAGCTTGTAAACCCTTGATGCACAGAACAAGCCCATCTTCACCGGCTTGGTATCTGGCACAGGGACGGAGCAAATGGAGAGCTCAAGCCGGTGTCTGCCCACGCGGTCCAGCCAGATCCGCGCGACATGCTGACATGGAGCTGTGCATTGCCAGGGGCTGCTCCTCGGTGCACACACCTCAGCGCCTCATTATCCCAGACGGCCAATGCTGGGGTGGTTTGCGACCGGGCATCGGTATAGATATACCCCCCCTCCCCCCCCGTTCCCTCTCTCCAGTTGGTGGCGTTGGGGGTTTGGGTCCATGGAAGTTTGTACTCGGTGTCAATCCACATCATCCAAATCTGATCATTGAATACCACAACGGCAGGGAGATTTCATGTGATTTGTCATGATCGGTCCTTGGCCTTCTGTCATCTGGGCCACGTTGCAGTGTGTTCATGGCTAATAAAGTGCAGGTGCGTATGGGTCCGGCTATACCACCTGCAAAGATTTCAAGTGAAGGAAAAGCAGCCAGAGGAGTGCAACAAAGACCAGCAGCAATTTCCCGGTATCTGTGCTGTGACATCTATGTTCTCAGAGCTGAGAGGGATCCAATATTGCTTTGAGGAGTGAGTAACATTACATGTACGCGATTAGGGCTGGTTCGGGAGAGAGGGCAAATGCGGCCTCAAGACGGCTCGGGCCATCCGCTGATAAAATTACCCCCGAAACACGGAATCAATCTCGATTACTCGATTCCACCTCATGGGATAATCAAGGTAGATATAGTTGCACTTGACTGATTTCTGAGGGACACAGGCTACGACTACAGGCAGACAGAACACGGATGCTTACGCCCGTGAGATGGGGGCCGAACTGAGATAGATGATTGGGCTCCTTGACCCGCGATCGACAGCTGCTATGCGGGAGAACAAGCAATGCTCCACTCAGTCACGATCGCTTAATTCAATCCTTCGGCCAATATCGATCGCCATAGGGCGATAAGTCAATGCAATGGAGCCAGATGTCAGCACTACTGACATTTTCCGCCCCCAACGCAAAGGTTACCCGGCTGGGCGTGCGACGACGACTGCGCCCCTTTTATCACCGAGGAATCTTCCTCTCCTTCCTCTCCCCCTTCATATTTCCTCTCTCCCCCCCTCTCTCTTCCTGCCTTCACATCCAAGGTCAAATGCGATGTGACCATGCAACGAATATCTCTCCTCGTTCTCGCCGTCCTCGACGCGACGTACGCAGCCAGTCCCTATGTCATGAACTGGTCCTCCCAGGCCTACGGGCCCGACGGCCCATGGCAAGCAGTGATGGTGGAGGTTGGCAGCAATAAACAACCGGTGGCACTGTATCCTGGAGCCACTTACACCACCACCATCCTGACAGACTCCATCTGCACCAACAAGACTGTCTCCGCCACGTGTTATGCTTCACAAGCCGGAACGTACAATGAAACCGAGTCGACCTCAGCCCACGTTCTGAGCAAGACTTCCTGGGAAACACTGTACTGGGCGGTGGAAGGAAAAGGCATTGAAGAAGATCTTGGGGATCAAATCGCGTTCGGCCCGACCGTCCCCAACGTCAGCATTCAGGCCATCGACCAGACCTACCAGACCTATCCGAACGGCAAGGCGTATCCAGTGCAAGTGGGAAACCTGGCCCTGGGGGCCCCGTGGTCGACCGCGACCGTCGAGAATGTCACCCTGAACATGATCACCCCGTGGCTTTACAACTCCGGAGGGGACAATGCCATCCCTTCGTACTCGTACGGCATGCACATCGGATCCGTCAACCCAGCGATCCCAGCCTCCCTGGTCTTGGGCGGGTACGATCAGAGCCGTGTTCTCGGCAACGTCAGTGCACAGTCGGTCACCAGCACAAGCGGCACATTGCAGATCTCCCTGAAAGACATTGGCCTCGGGTTAATCGGAAACAATACACCAGCAGGTTTCACAAGCCAGGAGGGCTTATTCCAGCAAAGCGAGGGGGAATCCACGGCCGAAGTGGTCACGATCGACCCCACCAAGCCCTACATGTACCTCCCGGAGGCGACCTGCAATGCGATCACCGCATCGCTCCCTGTTGCCTTCAACCAAAGCCTGGGCCTGTATTTCTGGGACACCAGCAGCAGCAACTACGCCAATCTCACCTCCTCCGCGACTTACCTCTCCTTCACCTTCAGCCTCAACAACGCCAGCAGCCACAATATCACCATCAAGATTCCCCTCGCGCAGCTCGCCCTGACGCTGCAAGAACCACTGGTGGAACAGAACCAGACCTACTTCCCCTGCTTCCTTTCCACAGATACCCCCGTCCTGGGCCGGGCCTTCTTACAGTCCGCCTTCGTTGGCGTCAACTACCACGAAGGCGCCAACTCCGGCACATGGTTCCTCGCGCAAGCGCCGGGCCCCTCCGTCTCAGACGCAGCTATCACGACAATCACCGTTCCCGACAAGTCGATCGCCGGCACCAACGCCTCGTGGGAGGCCAGCTGGGCCGAATACTTCCATCTCAACACCACTACTACGTCCCAGAACTCCACGGCCGCCAGCGGAGGTGGTGGTCTTAGTGCTGGGGCGAAAGCGGGCATCGGCGTCGGAGTCGGGGTCGGGGGTGCGTTGGTCATCGCCGCGGCAGTGCTGTGGATGGTGCGGCGGAAACGGCGCCAACGCCAGAATGCAGGGGAGAAGCGAAAGCCCGGGGAGGGAGGATTTGTGGAATTGCCTGCGCGCGTGACGGAAGGGCCGCCGAGGGAGTTGGACACGAAGAAACAGGTGCAGGCGCGCGAATTGGCAGGGGCGGAGCCGCCGCGGTATGAGCTGGAGTAGGTGGCATTGGGTTCAGCTGGTGCTATGGGATCGATGATTGGTGTTATGTAATGATATGAAGATACCAAGAATGAAAGACGGTTGGATGACCAGTTTGTTGCTGCAGTACTGGTGGATTCAGGTTCTTAGTTCGAGATTGGAAGAGAAGCAGCCTTGAGAAAGACAGCAACGCATGCGAATCTGTGTTTGAACGTTTGAACGTCCAATCGACTCAAGACAGTCATTTTTGAACCATCGCAGAGATCAAGAGGGTGGTAAGCATTGTCTGGCTGATGGCAAAGGCAGCGCTCTATACTCCATCATAACTTCGGCGGTGATCTTTTACTTATTGGTCCATGCTTCAACATACAATGCAATGCACTGGCATACATGAAAAGATCCTTGCCTTTTCAGATGTTCTGCACTTGCTATCTTTGTTGTTGAAGGGCCATCCTCCGCCATCTGATAAAGACTGTGGAGGCAAACCCCATCTAGGCCATGTCCAACAAGAGAGGCCCTCGTCTCCCAGAGCTGTAGATATAGAAGCCACGTTGAACCCTACCGATAACCCCCACATCTCATCATCCCATCATCATCAGCATCGCCACCATGCATCTCAACCCGTTAACCCCCCGAGCCCAGCTCCTCGGCGAGCTGCAACAGCTGCTAGCCTCCAACCACATCTGCAGTGTCGTGCTTGACGCTTCGAGCCCGCTCACCGAGCATTGTCGCACTCTCGTGATTCCGGAAAATGCCATCCTCATTCTCTGCCCCATCATGGAACTTTGCATGCAAGCCTGCTGGCTGCTGCAACGCTTCCCTCCGGGCGACGGCAACTCCGCGCGGAGTGGCACTGTCTGGAACTTCGAGTCTCCGGGGCAGCAGCGGGAGGAGGAGGGGGAGGAGGAGGCCACCAGTCCCGGGTGGCCCGGGTGCATGCTGTATGCGATGGCGCGGTTTTATGTGCACGGCCAGGAGGTGAAGGTTTTTGTACTCCGGGTGGTGTGATCGAGGGTGCCATCAGGTGCAACACAGTCGAGGAGATGATCTAAGCTTTTCTTTTCTAGCTTCATTGATACAAATTTTATATTGTCAAAGTAAACTGTTCTTTTCTATGTTTATATTTACCTTTGCGTGACTTGTCACTGAAAACAGGATCGGTTATTGTGCTGGAGGCAAAAGGAAAAAAAGATACGGTTTCAAATGTGCACCGAATGGGGTTTGAACCCACGACCTTCGCATTACGAGTGCGACGCTCTACCACTGAGCCACCGGTGCTTATCTAATGACCATCTACCCGCTCTTACAAATATATTACGTAGCAAGCAACACCATCCGACCCAGTGTCGAACTCACTCACGGCAAGGTTGTCGCAAAGCGCCAGCGGGCTGTCACTGACGGCCGCCGCCAATGTCATTGTTGTCAGCATCACCCCCATCATCATCAGACAGAGAAATGACACCCAGTGGGTGCACGGGAATGGTGCCATCTTCGACCAGGTCATGGAATTCCGAGGAGCCCAATAACGCAGAGTGAATCACGGTGTGGTCGGATCGATTCTGGGCTTCGATCTCGGGGCGAGTCAAATGTAGGAGGTGTTCAAGCAGAGAAAAAGGAAGAATCACAACGCCAAAGCCTTCGATTCTGAAACCGAGTCCGTCCTCGCTGCTGCTGGCTGGCTGGTTGTCGGACATTTTGTGCTCGAGAGAGGGCCGGACCGTGCCTTATATGCGTTTCTGGAGGGAAAGAGGATGGGGACTGTGTATGCAGTTGAGAAAGATGAGGAGTGAGAGCAAAGATGGAAGAAGCGGGGTGAGGGTAGAAGACGGGGGGTTGTTGGGTCAGAGTTACACAGCAGGGCTGTCGAGTGAATCAGCTCGACATGTCAGGCTTGGATGTTGCCTGGTGGCAGGGAAGGTCTGGCTACGAGGAGTCTCTCCGAGATATGCTTATATTCACCAGACGATGTCATGCCATAGGGCAAAGAATTATATGCAGACTCTATTTAGTACAGTCGCCTTACAACGGTTAGTACTATGGTGATCTATGTGAGTCACTTCGAACCTGATAGACCTTGAGTGCCTATGTCTTCGTTGTAGACCCTCCTCTTTGTCATTTTGTTATTACCTAGTAATTATGGTATCTGAAGCCCTATGAAGATGCTTGCTCTCTGACCGAGTACCGAAGTAGTACGAGGCAATCACTCACTGGGGCATCACTAATCTCCTTCCTGATGAGGTACTGGGCAGGAAGAGGAGATGATCAGCTTGTATGCCGGTAGTACTCTCTTGCATACTTGGAGGAAACGTTTGCCAGGGTAGATATTAGAGCTGAAAGTCATCGCAGACCCTTGTCCTTGCTGCCTAGGCCAAGCAGACGATGATTTCAAGTCATGGTGAAACACTGACTCTGTCAAGAGGGTAATGCGGAACCTCTCTGGTTGGGGGCCTTATGCAGGGTGCACTTCACAGGCCAATTCATCCTACCACCGTATTGAAGTCTACATAGTAAAGCACTCAACATGAATGACAACCCTGCGTGGCTTTCCAACGAGTGAGATCATCTACCTGCCTCAATCGGAGGACCTGCTCCCGTGGGGAAATGATACTGCAAGTATGGCAAGGTTGTTCCCAGCAGTGGTGTTTTGCGGGGAATAAGCGGCAGCTGAAAAATGTGGCAATCTGGCATGCAGGGCTTTTCAAATGAGAAGAAAAGTCATATAGTATATTCAGTACGCAAGAATGGACATTACTGACTAAGATAGTAACTCAACAACAGACAGACGCTACCTGCGCAGCCAGATGCGCCATCACAACCACCGAGCAAACCAGTCCAGCACCTGCTTCTCCGAGTCCTCCAGACAAGCCCTCTCCAAGGGATCATCGGGATTTCCCCTAACCGCAAACCCGTGCCTTCCCGGCTTGTACACCTTGTGTTGAATCTCCGGCAGCTGTCGTCCCTTCTGCCTCTCCTTCTCATGTACCTCCTCCACCTGGCCCTTCATGGCAATGTTGACCCCCTGATCCTCTAGCCCCCATCCGACACTGGTCGGGACCACCAGATCGTCGACATCCTCGGGCAACGCGACATGACTGGGATGCAGCGCCACCACCGCATCGGCCAGGGGGACTTTCTTCCCGTCATGCCCCTCAATCTGATTCTTTTCCAGCCCAGCCCGGAGCGCGTATTTGCCTCCCCAGCAGAAGCCGACCATGCCGATCTTCCGATCGGCCGGGGTCTCCCGTCGCAAGTTGGCCAGGAAGTCAAAGCACACTTTTTGGGTATGCGCCTCACGGTGTCTCCTCCACCACAGTAGAAAGGCTGGCGCGGCTGCTAGAATGCCCGTATACTTGGACAGGGTGGACTGCTTGCTGGCGTCGACAGGGAGTAATACGTCTGCCGTCTTGAGAGGGACGGGATCGCCTTCAAAGAAGTCGGGGAGGTAGACGAGGTAATCGCGGGACTTGGCGTACGCGTCGGCAATGAGACGGTTATTAGGGAGAGGAAGGCCGAAGATATCGGAGTAAACCACAATAATGGCGCGAGGGTTGGTTCGGTTGCCGGTCACGTAGACGTTGAGGCCGTGGAGCGGTTCTTCGCTGCCCACGGGTTGGCCGGCGTGGATGGTGCCTTTGATGCATTCGCAGGAGGGGGCGTCCATTGTAGTATATGTTCTGATGATTTAAGGGAAGATAATATGAGTGTAATGAGAGGATGATCTGAGTGATGATGGTGCGACTGTGCTTGTGCGAATAGAGTGAGAGGATGAGTATTTAAGGTACCTGGTAATTATATAGAAGCTGACATCGGGGGTGGATCTCGCCTGGTTCTCGTCCCGTTCTCGGCACCCAATTGGGTTAGACTGGTAGACTGCATCTTATCTGGACTTTCCCCGAGAATCGCGCGATAAGCCGTCAGCAACACCAACACCAACCAACACCAACCACCACCACCACCACCATGTCGCCCACTGCTCTACCCCCCGACCCGGTCTCCGAACTTCGCGCGAATGCATCGAATACCCCTGCTAAGCCGCGCAGCTGTCTGGTCTGTCGCCAGCGCAAGGTGCGATGCGACAAACAGTCACCGTGCTCCAACTGCCGTCGCGGTAAGATCGCCTGTATCTCGCCCTCCACCACCACCGACCATCCCCCGAGATGGGCCCGCCGCTTGAGAGAATAACCTTCATCAGCCAACCCAATCGCTGCAACTGTCACAAGGGACAATAGCATGGGGGTAGACCGACTGATGGATAGGGTGAACACGCTGGAGAGCCTGGTTCAAGAACTGAAGAGCCAGTTGGGACACCCGCTGTCCCCCGAGCTCTCTGATAAGGCCGGCATGACTGGCAGCCACTCACCCGGCAGCTCAACTCGAGAGGACCATGCGAGGGAATCCTCTTCTAAGGCGGGCACCAATAGCGTTCACACCCAGCTTGGACGGCTGGTCCTGCAGGATGAGCGTCACAGCCGCTATGTGAGCAGCAGCTTCTGGTCCCGTGTTGACGACGAGGTGCGTTAGTGTCGGTGCTGCAGATTAACACGAGGCTTCCTCTAACAGACACAAAGCTTAACGGGCTAAGAATGGCCACCAACACCTTATTAGATGACGACTCCGACAGCGCAGACCACCAATCCGCCGGCCAACCACAGTCCGTCGCCGCATTACAACGGACGCCAGCAGAACGCCATGCATTCATTTTCGGGCTGGGTCTGGATTCCGCCAATCCAGACCTGCGCGAGCTTCACCCCCTGCCCTCACAGGTGCCCTTTCTGCTGGAGACCTTTGCGGAGAGTGTCAACTACTTCTTAGGGATTGTGCACATGCCCACCATCTCGAATGTGGTCCGCGAGTGGCGTCGAAGTGGCATGAAATCTCTCTCGCCCTCCAATGAGGCCCTGCTCTTTTCAATTTACTATGCCACAATAGCCTCGATGGAAGATGAGGATGTAGGATCTTTCTCCCCTGTGCTGCCTCATGTCCGATGCTGACCAAAGCAGGTGATGACCAACTTTGGCGCCTCCAAGTACGAACTGAATCTGAAATACCGTCAAGGGCTGGAGCAGGCTCTTGCCAAATCTGATTTTCTGAATGCTCCAGACACTGTTCTGGTGCAAGCATTCACCATCTTTCTCTACCTCTCTCGTCGATACGACAGCCCGAGGTACATATGGATAATGACCGGGTTTGTGATTCGGATGGCTCAATACCTGGGTCTGCATCGTGACGGTGCTCATTTTGATCGCTTCACCCCGTACGAAGTGGAGCTGCGCCGCAGGGCCTGGTGGGGTGTATGTCTATTGGATATACGAGCCTCCGAGGATCAGGGGACAGATCTAAGCATCGCGCAAGGAAGCTTCGACACGAAACTCCCCCTTAACATTAACGACGGTGACATCGGCCCTAACATCAAAGAATCTCCGTCCGACCGTCAGGGCTTGACAGACATGTCCGTTCCCCGACTCTCCGCACATATGACCACCATCATGCGAGACATGATGAGCCGTGGGATTGCGGACGGGGTCGAAGGCATGCAGGAGCAGAGCCGCTCAGTGGATGAACTCTACCGCAAACTCGACGAAGAGTACCTGCAGCACACGGCCGGGTCCACCAGTATTGTTTCCTGGGTCGCCGTCAACCTAGTTCGCATGGTGATGGCCAAGATGACGCTGATTGTCTTTCTCCCGGTGTTGTTCTCTTCTCCCAGCGAAGAGCTGACGGAAGAGATCAGAACTAAGCTCCTGTGTGCGGCCATCGAGGTGGCCGAGTACAACCACGCGCTCAACGCAGAACATTCCGGTCGCCATTTGCGATGGTTGTACCAAACGTGCACGCACTGGCATGCAATCGTGTACCTGTTGATCGAGATTTCACGTCGTTCGTGGTCACCGTTCGTCGAGCGGGCGTGGGTCGCCTTGCACAGCAGCTGGCTGATCCCTGCGCCGTCGCCGACCGCCGGGAGACGCGGTATTTGGATTCCTCTCCGGAAGCTGATGGAAAAGGCGCGACGACACCGTGATGCTGAGCTCAGCCGACTGCGAAGTGACCATGAGGCAGTTACCAAACTTGACCTTGAGGCTCAGAATGCTCCTATGCCATCTAGCCCTGGACTCTTGGGCGTAGGACCCGTCAGCGAGGCCTACCGTCAACGATGGCGCCAGCTGGTTACTACACCAGTGACGAACAAATTGACGCCTGCGCTGGATACTAACCATGAGGCTATTCCATCGACCGATGCTACGATTGCTGCCGGTAGCACCAGCTCAGAATTAATGATGTCGGATACGCAGGCTGCCGCTCCTGTGGTGCCCACACCTGATTATTTGTACGGCGTGTCCACTGCGGCTCCGGATCCTGCTATTAACTTGGCCTGCGCCCCGTGGACGTCACCAGACGACATGATCCAGACTTTCGATATGAGTTTTGTGGATGCTAGCATGGATATTGATAGCGATATGGACTGGCACAACTGGATCGAGTCGGCGAAGGGTTTGGAGTCGGCTGCAGGAAACGATTTTCCCTCATGGTGCACAGTTCGTGATGACAAGGATGTATAATGCGACTCGACAAAACCAAGATTCATGATTTTATCGATTTTGATCAAAGGACTATTATTGGGCTGGCTCTGGCTGTGATTAATGGTTGATGATCACATGACTCCACCAGCTGAACATTCTTGATGATGTCATCCTCTTGAGGTCGCGCTATGCCAACCTGGGTAAGCGTCGGTATCCCATCGCTCTCCCATCGGTTTTTGCTCTCTTTACATATCACGATGAGTCGAGTCTTTCAACCTGTTACCGTAGAGTTGTTTTTCCATCAGGATACACGTGAAAGAACATCTCAAACACAGTTCATGTGATATATCAAATTCTTCCTGTGTCAAGAGAGCCTGGGGAGGAACCAACCTGAATTTCACTTCAACCGGCCATCCAATTCAGCTTCAACCTACTTCTGTGACTCTCTATATCACCTCTGATATCAACCCGAGAACAACATGGATAAAGAGTCCTTTTCTTGCTCGCACCCAGGCTGTGGACGAACCTACCGGCGAAAGGAACATCTCACACGACACCTCGCCAGCCATCTTCAACCTTCTGCCGCAGCTTGTCCATTCTGTGACAGGAGCTTCTCTCGCAAGTAAGCACTCTTTCCAGTAGAATTACTGGAATGATAGAAAATCGACTGATACACAAGTATTAGCGACACCCTCCGCCACCACGTCCGTTACAATCACAGCGACAAAACACTGAATCCTTCCAGAACGCTCAAGGCCTGCGATTACTGCCGGTCTCGCAGGACCCGCTGCGACGGCAACGCTCCGTGCACACCATGTCAGCAACGGGAGATACAATGTTCCCTGCGAAGCCATCAAGTTAGACAGGTTGTCCATGAAGATCCTTCTGCAACTGTAAAGGCATCTGAAATCTCAGTTCCCCCACAAGAACCACCGGTACCCGGCCAAGGCCCCATCGATATCCGTCCCTATCTCGAAGCATACTTCTCCAAATTCCACCCCATCTGGCCCTTCGTGCACCGCGCCACCTTCTATATGGTCCACGAGCCCCCGTTCCTCCTACAATCCATCACGATGATCGGGCTTTGGGTCACCGGAGACGCGAAGTCACAGCAAGCTGCAGTTGAGCTGCACGAACGGTTGAGCCTTTCTATTTACGAGCAAAGAGTTCGTCGCCCCCTTGAAATTCTCCAGCAGCCGTTGCCATCAATACTGATCAACCCAGGAAAAATGGCAAACCCCAGGCCCCTCCCCCAACCACCAACCGTGGCCAATAGCCACCTACCAAGGCATCCTCCTCAACATCATCTTCGCGCTGATCTCCGCTCCCCCAGACCCTCTCGACCTGCAACTCACCCGCAAACTGCCATCGCTGCAGTCAAAACTCCTTCTCGCGCTCATCAAGACCTGCCGCGCAAAGGACATGTTCTCGTACTCCACGATGCGCGCCCATTTCGCACAGGATACCGTGCTAGACGTGTACATCTGGCTTGGCATTGAGGAAGTCAAGCGCTTCGTGCTGGCGCTGTACAAAGTGTGCACGATGGTTCGTGTAGATGTGCATGAGCCTCAGGACCATCCGACCGACCCAAACCTTCTCTCGTTAGCGGAGCTGCGATTTGCGATGCCCGAGCGGGACGGGCTGTGGGACGTGGGCTCGGAATTAGCGGAGTGGCTGGAGAGGGAGCATGTGAGCGACCACGGCGAGAGGAATCGCGAGGTGGATTGGATTTCGAATGCGGCGCGGGTGCTGCGTAGGGAGGGGGTGGGGTTTGGGTTGGTTTGATTTCTTTCGAGTTTCTTGAGGCTTCTGCGGGGATCGGATCTTACGTTGAAGCGGCAGTGTGAGCGTCAAATCTAGCCACAGGTCGCCGTGATGTCGTCAATTAAGCAGGACACGGAAAATGCGTGCGTGTTATGTCCCCTCAAGGGTGCATGGCATATGGCGTGGATAGTAAGTAGTCTTCATCACAAAATCTTGCCGACAGCTGCAGGTCGAGTAGAAGCGGATACAACCGTCACTTTTAGTATGCGGCCGGGACTTTAGACTCGTAGATCTAAACACTCACCGAAATTGAGAGGCTTGCGTCAGGCACTGACCCAGTCGCAGGAGAGTCGCAAGAGTATCGTCAATTGCGACAGGGACAACATAGCCGAGACAACTCAGAACAGCACAAGCACAGAACCATGGAAAAGGATACTACTGTAAGGGCTAGATGAGTCTCTTCACTGCATGGGTCCCTCAATAGACTAGTCTACCGCTTTCAGGTCCACGGCAGTCATGCAGAATCATGCCGGCTGGAACCGATGCGGACCACCACGAGGGATCCCACCCGACGTGCCGTGTCTGTCTGTCTGTCACTTCTGCAGTGTCAGACTGCAAAGCTACTGAATGGACTGCAGTGCGCGCAATGGCCCGGTTCGGGACGAGGCCCTGGCGCTACTACGTAGTGAGTAGTGACCAACAGCCCGACCCACTACTGGGGCTATCAGATGATTCTAGCCCGGGTGAGGGTCTTGGCAGGTGAAAATTTTTCGACCGCAGAGTCAGACCCTGTCCATCTCTCAGTCTATACTTCGTACAAAATGGTCCTGCTCGATCAATCGTGACATTGAAGCTCGAGATCATTCAACTGGGTGCATGTAGGACAAGAACCCTCCAGATGTGCCCACTGGTACTAGTGACGTGGTACTCGAAATACCTCAACATGTAACAAGGATCTAATCAGATGCTCCGAGTGATGAGTAATCGGATTACCGAGGGTCCGGTCAGCTTTGCTCGAGTGGAGACGAAGCATTGGACTCTGGTACTGGAGCGTACAGAGGTAGAATCAGCCGACATGATGGCTTGGGATTACCTAACCCTGACCATCCCATGCCGATGCTGTTGCTTTTGAATGAGGGTCTAAATTTTACATTGCAAATCGTCAGGTCAATTCCCAGCGCCTTGACGATCAGTTGTCAAAGTGAAGTATTGAGTTTCTACCAAGCAAGCAGGAGAAGATCAGTGGCGCCATGCGAGTCGCTGATCAGCGGCAATTGCAGGAAGGAGGCGTTTCCCGGGTGGGCCAAGGGCCTTTCAGCGAAGTGAGGTCGGGGATGTCCGTTCAGGAGGTTCACGCAAAGCATGAGCAAATAAGCTACATAGTATGTAGACCACGAGGAGAAGGGCAAGGGAAAATTCTGCATTGTTGGCTGCCATTGGCTTTGGAGGGAAAATCGGTCCACCCGGACTTGGCCGGATGCGGATGTGAGCTGATTGGATCGGGTCTTATCAGATCCATCCATCCCGATTATCTGATGCGCTTATCCTTGGGAAGGAAGTTAAAAGGCACGCACTCTTGGCAGTACACTGTGACCACGAACGGTTGTTCTGGCTGCGCAGAGACATATTGCCACGGCCTTTGTCTTAGGTGTGCCAACTTCCACAGTTGGGGGCTAAAGGCTAGCGTGCAGGTGCAACCACCCAAGAGACCGGCTAAGAAAGTTAAGACAGTCAAGAAAAGGCAAGAAAGTCAAGAACAGGCAAGCAAGTCTAAGGCTGTGGAAGGCAAACTCACACTAGCGCCAATTCTCTACTACCTGAACACTGGTCCTTACGCAACCACCAACTCCTACTTATAACCCAGCCTGACCCCCTCTTTCCTCCCTTCTTTTCTTGTTGATCCTCAGCCCTTTCGTTCTCTCTCTTCCCCCCCT